TTCTTTCGATATGCTCCGGTAATAAAGCGAATAATTAACCCTTATGTCTATATTTAGCGGTCCGCCTCACCGAGTGCGAATATCGGGGCGTCACGTGACCTTAATAATCAAAATTTTCAATTAAGTATTTTACGTATTGTATTTATCTGGTGTGAATAATAAATAAGTAGCCATTTTGATATTAAGTTAACCGTGACTGAAAAAGTGTTAACTTGATTCGTTTAATAAAGGATTTCTCTGTTTATATCGCTTGTTTTCTTGTATGTATTGTTTCTCTCTCTCTCTCTCTCTCTCTGTCTTTCCTTTTCTCATTCTCCCTCCTATCTATTCTCTTTTTTCTGATTCCTTTTTTCTTTTCTATTCTTTAATAAATCTCATAAAAAATTTTCTCAATGAATAGAAAAAAAAAACAACATAGAAAGATGATTAGCTTAAGACTTATTTAGTTGAAAAGAGAGTGCAAAAGAGAGACAGAGACAGAGAGAAAAGATAAAAAAAGAAAAGACAGAAAATATTAACAAAATCCAATTTATCTTTCTTCTCTAAAAAATGTTGAATATATAAAAATAGAAGAAAAAAAAGTAAAAAAAGACGACATTTACTCCTAATAGTCTTCTAGTATAAAGCAAACAATAAGCACAAAGAGTAAGTTATATACAATGTATTGTAAAGAAAAAAAATAGTGCAAAAGATGCATGCTCTAGTGTAACATAGATACTGTATGTTCATTCTACGAGACCATTTGCAGTTCACCCTGCTTTCTGATAATATTGTTGTTGTTATTACAGTTTTGTATTTTTACAGCTACCGCCTCTTATTGCTACTTTCGGCAAGTTTAAAAAAGAAAATTCTTCTATCTGCCTTTAATAAAACTGCAAAAGTATTGACGTATTAATGCAGATAAAGTTACACAAATAGATAATTAATGTTTTCTTTGCAAAAATCGAAATTTGTTTATTGTTCCAGTCTTCTACATTCTTATTCCAAATATTTAACTTTCCATTGTTGTACTGTCTTTAAAGTAAACAAATTTACTTTGTTCCCAGAATTTTGAATACTAGAGTGATTGGAAGAAACTTTGATTTTCATTAAATTGATAGTCTATTAAATTCCTTTCTTTTGTTGTTTTTTGTTTTAATTATAGAAATATAAATAAGGAAATATATAAACATGAATATATACTGTATATACTGTCTGTATTTATACAATACATACATAGAAATCGTATATCTGAAAACAAATAGGGGGAAAAGAAAATTGAATTATCTTTTATTCTTATTCTCTTCTTTTTGTTCCAAACGCAAATTGATAGATAGGTGGTGAGAATTTATTCGAAGGCGCGTGCAGTAGCTGAAACCGGCAAATGTACCGTATTATGTTTACAGTGTATGCAGTATACTGTTTCCAATTGTAATAGCGATTGTAGTTCTGGATAAGGTAGTTTGTTGCGGCTGTAGCCGTTTCGATTGTTAGAGGTGGTTGATAGTAGTTGTAAGAGTTTTCTTGTATTATTGTTAGTATTATTATTACCATTATAATTGGAATTAACGTTAAAATTACAACTTCTATATAAATTTTTGCGGATATCAATTGTTTATATAAATGGAATAGTATAGGATTTCCTGGAAAATTGGGTGAGGCTTTTTGTCAAGTTAAAAAGAGAGTGAGAAAAAAAAAGGAAAAAAAAAACTAGAGAAAGAGTACCGTTGTCATTTCAACAAAAGGTTTTTTCGGTGAAAAAGAAAAATTATAAAATATATAAGGAAAAAAATGTATGGAAGAGAAGAATGATATTAATGAATCCTGGAATATTTTATTGAGCTCTCTTTGTAGTTCTGAAATAATAGAATAATAAAAATTGTTTAGATGAATAGTTCAATGAACGCTTCGAATAAATAAATGCATGACTATTTCCTTAACAAAACTCTCTTTAGAAATTAAACCGATTAGCTATCACCTATCCTTTTACCTCCACTTTTCAACAACAAGAAAGTGAAAGAACCCCCCGACCCAATAACCGTAATTTACTGTAATTCGCATACTGTACGCTTTACTTGTTAACTTCTTGTTGAGAGGTGGTGCGAGGAAGGTGAAGAGGGCTTGAAAAGGGATCTGAAAGAATACGTAATAAGGGATTGAGGAAACGGATAGAGAAGTAGAAAGGGGAAAGAGGGAAGATTTAGCCAGGGAGGAAGGAAGCAAAGAAGAGAGACAAATAAAAGACTAAAAAAGGGTAGGATAGGTAAGCAAATCTGATGGATGGATAGATGGATGGACGGTTGGTTTGTTGGATAGACAGATAGATAGATAAATAGATAGATAGATATACCAGATAAACGGACGAATAAATAGGTACAGAGTTAGATAGGTGGAATAAGAAAGAATAAGTAAATTGATGAATAGATTGCAAGATAGATGGATTTATGGAAAGAGAACTAAAGAGCGCCATCAGCCTCGATTCAATGCTAATAAACGAAGCCAATAAAATAATAATACACTTTCCATCATATCTTAGTATAGAGGTATTTCAATAGAAGAATTTTTTATTCAGATATGTTTTCTTCTTATTACCAATTAATATTATATTTATATACTATATATATATATATATATATATACAGTATACGTATATATATATATATAGACAGATATACTGTATACAGCATATTTTTATATACACTAATAGATATAGACATACAGGATGATTATGTAATAAGCACAAATCGAGATTAATAACGACTATTGAGAATTAATTATGTTATAAATATTAATAAAAGAGTTTTATTGTCGTTGTTTTTGTTACGATTGTGTAGCGTATCCCTAGGTGTACTTATGGGTATTTTTAATATTCTAATAATTGCTTTAGGGTTAAAGGTGAAGGATACCTGCCACACACACACTATTTTGTTTGCTATAAGAAGAGTGGGTATATATATCCTTTAACGAAATCTGCCTTGATGAATATTTAAGTCTTTATCGAGAGTATAAAGAAAGGAACCCTAAAATAATATAGTGTCTCCCAAAGGCCTCGACCCACGGACTCCTAAAGCCCATACAAAAGTAGCATAAAATCGGCCTATCTACACCGTCTATTATATCCTCTACAGAATCTCGCAGCGCACGAAAGAAGGGAATGAATAGCCTGAAAAGAAAAGTTTCGAATAGAACGAAGCTTTTCATACCGACTAAACGCAATCAACACCGCCTTTATACTTGCCGATTGGCCGCATTGTTCGAAGTCGGATTGAGAACGTTTTCGATACAAAAGTCGGCAAACGACCGTCGAATAGACGGCTGATGAAGGGCGAATGAAAAACAATAAGCAAATTCTTCCGCTATTTTCCAGGATAGTCCTTCCAATGTTAAGGCTATTATTGAATTTCGATAAAGGGCTAAACAAAAAAAAGAAAAGGAGAAATAACTGCAATCTCTTTCGTTGGCGCAATATGAAGAAAAGATAAATTTAAAGGGTAAAGACGTGCATTAAGTGCGTGTATACATCTGCTAAATCTATTTTAAGGTCAACAACAAATGCTCAAAAAACCTTTTACAACAGTACTATGACATTATTATGGAAGAAAACAAATTTTTTTCTCAATAAAAATCACCCGCCACCCATTCAATAAAGGGGCGGAGGGGTGAGAGAGAGAGAAAAGAAGGATATGTATTTTTAGAAAAAGAGTAGCGTTAAATAAAATACCAAAAATATTGAATGAGCAACTGAATGATTGAGCGAGTGAGGAACCGAGGGACGGAATGAGAGAGAAACAGAGACGGGAGAATTGGAAAATAGGCAACGAGTAGTAAAGAGAAATAACACAACAAATGAATTCTTCCGTCATTTTTTTTTTTCAGTAAAGTCCCCTTACATAAAAGAGTTTTTGTTCAATATCATACATGAATGGCTGTTTATATTTGTCATTGGCTGCGTTCTATTCAATTCCCCTACTCCTTTCTCTTTATCAACAACAGATTTAGCAATCTAAAGATCCCCTCTGCTGTGTAAAACTCTTCAGATACCTTCATGTGTACACCATTCCATTCAATGTACCATCAGTCATTAATGAAGTATGTAAATCAATTTGACCCCGTTCAGGGACGCTTTTTTGTGTTTACTTTACAAAAGAAAACGTGCGACAAAGCGGAATAGTCAGACATTCTTCATACAATTTCTTGTTGTATTCTTTTCTTCGATTAGTCACACGCGCGAGTATACAGAGACACGTTTGCGTCTGCGTACAATGCATATAAGTATGGGAAGGGAGGGAGAGAGAGAGAGAAATAATAGAGTAAAAGTGTGTATGTGTGTGAACAGGATATTTGCGTCATAGAGCAACTGTATGATGGTGTTTTTTGGATGTTTATTTAAGCGGCTAAATTGAATTGCTTGAATTTAAAAAAAGCAAAAAGAAAGTCTTATGGAAAATGATGTTTCATTTGGAAAGAGATTAATTAAGAGAATAAAAAATTGTATAAGTAAAAATGAGGCAGCTTGAACGGCTTTATAACCAAACAGCTGCCCTCTTTTGTAAGGATTTTCCAAGTGCTATCCAAAGTACTTTGGAACTGATTACAGATATTTCCCAGTAATTACTAAACGATTCTATCTATATCAATCGACTATTCCAATTCCTTTATTTATTCATAAATAATTTATTATACTGACATAAAATAGGCGGCATTTATATACGTATAAATATATTAATTAAATACGTTAAATGCTCGATGTGCATGCTGTATATTCATCAATATACATATGCATTTATAAAAAAGAAAGAAATATATATATATATATATATATATACAGTATACAGTATATGTTTATTTTTCATTTTAATAAATATATACTTCCTCTTTTTAGTAAAAGGAACAAAATTAACAAAGGAAAACAAAACAAAAGCTTGCTTTTAATACTGTACAAATTACAAACACAAGAAATTACTGGAGCAGAGAGATTTTGCTGTATACATATATATATATATATATATATATATATATATATATATATTGTATATGTATATAAACATATACAAATTCATATTGAAAAATATATATGCATAAAGGGAAAACAATACAACCATTTAGAAGAAAATCTCATTCATTCCCTCATTCTCTAACTCCCAATTATTCAAGACAAAAAGAACACAAAAACAACAAAATATAAAAAAATAAAAAACCAAAAAAATGAAAAATTGTTACCGTCTGCTAAAAAAAAGTATATCCCCCATTAGTCACATGTATTGATTATTATATCTTATAAAAATGTTTACAACCGAACACCCATGGCACTAAAAAAAAATTAAAGTTGTTTTGTTTGCTTTAATCGTTACATCATCGTCTTCCGTTCCAGTGGTGGTGAATGAGCCGGAGGTGGACTCAGTAAAAGTGGCGGTGGCTTCCTCTCGGATGGAGTTTTGACTAGGGGAAGGGGCTGGTTGTAGAACGGATATAAGTAATGGGAAGACGGAGGCGGCGGTGGCATATAAGATGCTAAGGAAAATTGTTGAACAAACTCTTTTTCATGTAGCATCGATCTTGCTTTATCTGCCAACAGTTCCGAAGCAGAAAAGTTAACCGGAGCCATGAGTAAAGGTGGAGGTGGAAGTTGGTTAATGGGGATCGGATAAGGATAGGAAATTTCTTGCTTCTTAATATAAGACTTGGGCTTCCTACGAGGGCGATACTTGTAATCGGGATGTTCTTTCATATGTAAGGCGCGTAGCCGCTTCGCTTCGTCGATGAAAGGCCTCTTCTGCTCTTCATTTAATAATTTCCACTCGGCACCCAAACATTTCGATATCTCCGAATTGTGCATCTTTGGATTTTCCTGCGCCATCTTGCGACGTTGCCCTCTTGACCAAACCATAAATGCGTTCATGGGTCTCTTTACGTGATCCTGCTCCAATTCAGCGCTTTCCATGCTGTCTGATCTGCAAATACGCTGTGAACGACCAGAGCGACCCCTGGGGTATAAGAGCTCTTTTATCGTACAAGCGTCAATCATGCGTTTATCCCGCCTCTATCGAGTGCTGATTGGACAAGAGTAAATCTTGATATGTCTCGTTACAGCTTTTTTTTGGCAAGTTCGTCACCCGTTTTGTTCTCAATTTAAGATGTTACGTAAGTTAACGGTGTCTGCGAACGCAAGTCAATTAAAAAGAGTAGCGTTCGATCTGCAAGATAGCGACACCTGTAGTAATTAAAGGTGAGTAAATCAGCAAATGGTAGCGATTTTTAAGGATGCACCAATCTTCTACGGTGCAGCATAAATCGGCTCAGAACACGCACGGTATAATGCAACTTTTAACAGATTCTTAGCCTCGGACACCTTTTTAAAGGATTCCTTGTTAATTATTATTCAGTGCTCGTTTGTCGTAAAGGTTATTCCTTAGTAGCATAAGGAAAAGTGAGACTTTCCTTTACCTTATATCTTACCTTTTCTTCACTGTATTGCATAATACGTAACAGAGAAAATAATTGTAAAATAAAAAATGATGGAGAGATATTATTCTTAAATTTATATATCCCTTCTTTCCTGTTTGAGACAGTAGAAGGAGAGAGCGTTCGAAAGGATTTTTAGATAGGCAAGAGGAGGACTAAGAGAAGATATGGACTAAATCAGTATGTGGATAGCATTAATATAAAACTGTAATAGCGAGCGAGAAAATATGAAAGAAACCAATTGGTTTTAATTTTTTCCGCAAATGTTCAATCGACTGTAAAATAATAATCAACAATCTGAAGAAGAGGGCAATATCTTTATCGGTAAAACATCAAATATGTAGCCTTTATACCTCTATTTGAATGTATAATGTAAGTCTTATACCGCATCGTATGATGTATATAAGAGACGCCTTACAATATAAATTAGAATATATATTGGTATATATATATATATACATATATATATATACTGAATATATTATTAATATTTTGCACATCCTATACAAAAATGCTTTATTAAAAAAAAAGAGCGTCCAAGCGTTTAATTTGAAAAAGACAAATCTTTTTATACAGAGATAGAAACATTTAACTTGTAGGTTTTATGTACTAAATTTACCTTTATTAATTATAGAGCAAGCATTGTATTATTAGCCACTAATTAGATAGAATAAATCCAATGAAATTGCGTATACATTTATGTATTAATACATTCTATATGTACTGTATCTATCTTAGAATATATATTGTATATTTATAGATCTACATACGTATAGATATACATGTATACACATATATTTATACATATATATACATATATATATATATATATATATATATACTTCTATATGTACTATATAATATATATTCGACACATAAGACATAAAACTCAGATATATATATTTAGCCGATCCGGCAACCTAATTAATATTCATAAACACCTCCGGGCAATAAGCGAATACATAATCAAAGAAGCGAAACTTTATACAGAAACGAATAAAGGCGGACGTCTATAGGAGCGTCTAAAGGCGTCGTCTATATATGACGTCGAGTGTCGAAAATACACAGAACCCGTATTTGCCTTCCATAATTGCTCTCGCTCCGACAATGCACTTGGAAAGCGCGCTCTCAGCGCCAATTGCAGCCAGCAATGCAGCTTGGCGTACTGCAACCACTCCTATTGTCGAGGCACGCATTCGACGATAGTCATACAATTTTCAGACTTTATACGGCCATTAGACGAAGAGCATGCACTCGTGGCCCGCGTGTCGTCCGTAAATAGGCCCAAGAATAGTACCAGAAAAGGCTGATTGACAAAACTTGAAACTGGATAGAAAACTCTTATCCTTTTCCAAGACGAAATTACTTTTAGCTCTATTTTATACTTCAAAATGAGTATAACAATATAAAGAAAGGGAGCGACGTTGAAAATAAGAGTACGGGGCAGATAGGGGAATAGGACTAAGGAGGCAGAAAGCGAAAAGAGAGATAAATATATTAGATATAGGTAGATAGTTTGATAGAGAGGAGGGTGGGGAGGGGGGAGACAGAATGAGACGAACAAATAGAAGAGGGTGAAGAAAAGGTAAAAAGAATGGAAGACGAGGGCTTGGATTATACCGAGTATGAAGCTAATTTACCCGGTTCTTCGATGAAAAGGAAGATATTTATAAAAGAAATTTAATACGGTTTTATAATTATTATTTTGTTTCATTAAACTTAACGTTTCCATTGAAATTTTTTGCACTTTATAAAGAAAAACAGAAGTCGTAGGAAAGTTGAAAAGTAAAGACTTATAAAACAATTTATTGTAGTGTATAGACTTTCGTGTCATATAGTTTACAGTTTCTCCTTTCAAGCTTATAAGTTTCTGGAAGAGTATAAAGTAATAAAGTAAGAAAAAAAAAGTGAATGATACGAGTTCTCTATTACGAAGTGAGGAAAAAAAACTTACTCTTTTTTCCTTCTTACAAAAGTCAAATTCCGTAAATCATGTATTACACTATTCTGATTGTGTTTAAAATGTCTAAGAGTTTGTGACGTCATTCATTGATTAGTGTCAAGCTACAAAGCGATTAAAGCGATTAGGGCTTAGCGAAGAGGATAGTCTATTAGAAGAATATTTTTTTGTTCTTTAGATATTTTTGTCAAATACAAAATATATATACATATATATATATATATATATACTGTATATATACTGTATATACAATATATTGTGTACATTAACTACACTATATATGTAAAAGTTAGGTTAAAGTTAATTCAGCATAATTGAATATTAGAGTGGATAGAGAAGAAAGAAATTAGATTCGCCTTCATCCACAGTTTATCAAATATTGCCTAAGTGTTTTGTATTTGTTTACGTGATCGAGACTCGTCAATTATCTCAAGAAGTGTGACGTGATAATATATGACTGGGTAGTTTTTGTGCCTTTAAAGTAAAATAGTTAAATATACAGTATACATATCTACGATATACTGTGTACAGTATATGCTAATATAAAAAATCATTTACCCTCTACAGTATATCCTATCGTCATACTGTACTGCAAAAGTATTAAATATCTTATAGATGTTCTATTAGTGGAATAAGAAGACTGACCAGTACATTGGGAGAGGGTTTTCTATATTTATACAAGTATGTATAAAAAAAAGGGTATACCGTAAACTGCATTCTGTATATTATACATTAAATACATTAAATACATACGTATGTGTTGTATATTGAGTGTTTGGAAAAATACAATCGTTTATACATAACGTATGAGTGTTTATTTGTTGAATGGATGCTTGTGCAAATAAATAAAGGAAGGATGAATAACAAGACGTTCGCCTAAGCAATATAAAGGATACATAGATGAGATTATAATGATTATTATTAATTATAAATCAAATTAATGATTAAATCTATAATACGATACGATTAAATAAAGAAACTTAAAAGTGTTGAATAGAATTAGCATGCAAGAAATGAAATAGACGGCATAAAATAGACGAGTAAAGCTAGAAAAAAAATTTTCTTGCCGCTTCAAAGTGACAAAAGCCTATTGTAAAGTTAGACAAAAGCTTTAAAGCACATTTACTCATTGGCGCACTGATGCAAGAAGGCGACGGGAGTGTGCGCCGCAATACTGCAATACAGCGGCAGACAATAGCGGCGCATTGTATAAACACGTGTATATTGTATGCGAGAATAATAGCTAAATACACTTTGCGCCTTTACCTAGCTACAATAGGTTGAGTATAGCGTATCACAATGGGCCCTGTTTGTCTCATGTTGAATGCATAAATACATTATGTATAGTTTATCAAGGGAAAGGGGCCGTTAGAAACAGGTGCGAAAATGATATGACAATGGAGGTAGGCTGCACAGCGCATTAGCGATCAGATCCATTCGAACAATGAAACTAAATGGACTCATTTTACTTGTATTGTTTGCAAGAGACAATTCGAGGCTTGGAGTAGATCAGAAGTGAAAAGTTGTCGACTCTGTTCAGCTTAGTGGTTCTTAATAAATTTTTTCTGCTAGTTTTTATCTTTTTTATCAAAGAAAACAACAAAAACAACATTGTAGAATGGAAGAAAAAAAAGACAAGTTTGTCAATTATAAAGTTAATGTTTTTATTTGATTAAAATGTCATACAGTTATATTCAATAATGGCTTTTAGATGAACGGTTCATGAAAAGCTGTTTATACGTTGTTCTGTATTAATATAATTATATAACGCATATAAATTATTGTATAGCAATACTTACAGTGTAATATGAATTTTTCGTAAAAACACCAAAAATTTCGTGTAAATTGTAATATGTGTATAGTAACACTCTCATTTAGTTGAAAGTGTCTTCTAAATAAAGGTAATGTATACACTGTATACTGTATACTATTTACTTGTTTATACAAATATAATCGTGTAAAGTTCTGTGCACAAGGTGTGATTTGTTAGTGTAATTGGTATTGAAAAGCAACACAGAGAGGAGAATAAAGAGTAGCAAGGTTAATTGGGCTTTATCGATTGCTTTACGATTGGAACAAGGTGAAAAGAAAGAGGAGGAGTGCGTATAGACGGGAAGAGTGAAGAAAAGAGATTAAATAGACAAGAGAGAGAAAAGAAGAATAAGACTAAGAATAAGAGGTAAAAGGCTGGATGGAAAAGCGAAGGAGAAAGAAAGAGAGAGAGCGAGAGAGGAGGAGAGAAGCAGGAAAGAGTAATAAAAACATATTGTTACAATAAGAAAGAAAACAGTTGATTTTGATTTTTATAGAGTAGTTTAACTGAAGCAAATAAAAGAAAGTTTCTTACAGATTAAGCTGAATACCCACTGTTCAAATTTAAATATACATATGTATATACTGTAAACTGTAGATAGATAAACTAGCATGTTTACAATAACAAGAATAATAAAAACTCGTAACGCATTTACCGACGGATGTATAATTTATATACCTTTGTTCGTTTGTCTACAATTACGTATACTTGACGGCTATTAACGTAATCACAAATTGTTTCTACAAATATCTCGAAAGCAAATCAACAAGCGAGATTAAAAGTGAAAAGGG